AGGTGGATTTAATGCTAAATAGCGTTCTCATAATTCAGTGATGTGTCATAATTCCATAAAATTTCCAATATGTCAAAACACAAATACACGAGTTCAAGAGAAGGAAAACTCGGAATGAAATTAATGCTGCCTGGTCAACACGACAGATTAGTCCTGTTTCTTCCATTCGTGACCGTCCCAGAAGTACTAGGACGTTAATTTGTTCCATACAAATTTTTTCACGAATGAAATAGCTGTTTTATTGCGGCTTCTAAAAACTCAGCTTGTTTAAACGAAGGTCTCCCTCATCTAGGACATTTTAGGTAAGGTTTTCATACAACCTTGGCAAAAAAAACTTGATTAGAAACAATACAGCCACCACGCAATGTAACCGCATAATTAATAAATAGTTCTGCGACTGGTAATACATACTAATTTGATACAGTATTATGTTTATAAGAAATTATATAAACATAAGTAAGCTTTACTCGCGTAGAGAATAAGAGCATATTTCCTATTCGTGTACTATATTTAATTTAATATTAATATTTTTTGTAAAAAAAAATCCGTTCAGCAGATTTTACGTGAAAGAGTAATAAATACCTTTCCAGCTATCTTTACAAAGTTAAACATTTATAATATTAAGTTATAGTTTTCCACAGAACTCACTGAGCAACTTGAAGCTTGTTGTTTAAAGCTGAAGCTTATGTTTCGGTTCCGTAGGTCGTCACTGGCAACATGCATTGGTAAAAGACCCTCGTCTTCAAAATTGAGATAATTTTGTCCTTATTATTTATTAATAGATCTACTTATTTGTTACGACATTTTGTTTTTGTACTGGTAAGAAAGGTGGGCAAAAAGAGATTACAGTCGACTTCCGCCTGGATATTTGATTGATGATATTAATACGTCAATTTATATTAATAGGTAATTTTTTTTGTGTAATGTATGTATAGTTAACTGGTAGAGAACGCCATATGGCTTAAGTTTGCTATTTGTAAAAAAAATAAATATACAATAAATATTTATATTTGTCTAAATAGATTAATATTTAGTATTATGACAATCATATAATATTGTTATTCAGTCATACTTATAGATGAGTATTGCTGATAAAGGTCACTATATGGAATTAAACTTAGTTTAATTTCATATTCATAAGAACTTATTACCTACGCTCTATAATTAAAGACTGGGGAAAAACCACTGCCTTATAGAATACCACAGTCATGTAATTTAACTTTCTAACGTTTTATTTTCCTACGCAATTTTATACAATAAATTTATTTATCAGATTCTGAAAGTGAAAGGGCTAAAGGATGACGGTTCTCTATTTTCCCGAGGGAATGAGATATTTTCCTGGAGTAAAAAGTTTTATATTATGTTGACATAGGTTATAAGTTATGTAGAGATAACTTATTACCAAGATTAACATTTGGATTTATTAAATTGTTATCGTACTCCGTCTAGCAGTTTTTGTGTGATGCTTATACAGATATATAAATGTTTTCAAAGTTTTGTAGGATATGTATTTATATCGATGATTATTATTAAACTGTAATTAAATGTAATATATATACTATACTACAATTAAATATAACACACTAATTAATAATACTTCAATAAAATATTCGTTAATACACTGAGACGGTTCTATTGCAATTTTATGACATGTATAAAAAAGAGTTAATCTACAATTTATTAACATAGAGTCGGAGGTAGGAAAGATTGTTTTTAGACTGTGATTAGAATGTTAAATACTCGTTCTTCTAGTCACTTTCTGAACTTTTTTACTTACACAAGCTGATTTTGCTCTGCAAAAAAATCTATTGATTGCAAAAGTAATTATCAAAATTGGTTCAGAATTGGCGGAGACATTGTGTAACATATACGTAAAAAATCTTAACATGTACGGGTACGAGTTGAACTCGCACACCAAAGGTTCTGTACATAAAATAAAAGCTGAATATACGGTTTTTGTTTTTTTTAGATGATAATTTACTGACTATATGAAACTTACATAAAGAATCACGCCGTAAGGTACTATTTTGGAATGTAACTCTACAATGATTTTTTTATTGTATAACTTAACATAAATTCAGTATAGACAAATTCTCAACTCTTTACGAGCAAGTATAAGAGGCTCTTCACACGTTATCCTGTATGTTAAGCAGACGGTTACGTCTTGTTTTTCTTGTTTATAAAGTTATTTGTATTTATATTTTTATGTACTGTTTGTTATTTTGCAATCGGGGTTTTCTGATTTATTTAAAATATTTTTTTTGTAATTAATTTCCATGTTTCTATGATAAATGCTTAAAACCGCAAATGACCAATCAAAAGTATCGACATGATTTGAATGTTCGTTACACAGTTAAATCAGAACGATATAACGAGTTTCTCAAGTCATATAATTATGTGATAATAATTGATTATTTGGTGTTTTGCAATGAACACGTCAATGTTCATTTTAAGTTAGTTATTAATGACATTTTATTATTTGTTCATTTGAGTTTCATATCATTCTCCATTGTATCAATTTTGTAGCTGGATAAGTTTGATAACAAATATTTGATTTTATCGTTGATTGACCTCTTACCGATCAGGTGTTACAATATAGTATGAAGCATAAAAATTTTTCGTTTAATATGTCTATTTCCACCAGTATTAAATAGAGAATTTGTTTTAAGAAAAAATCTACTTTAATTTTAATAAAATTAGTAGGTACGATATGGAATTACGAAGAAAATATATAACGATTAAAAAAGACAAATAAATATCGTCTTAAAATGTGATGAAGATATCAAGAGGGAGATCGCTATACAAAAGTCGTTGGGTACCTATGTCCCATTTGTTTTTCAACTATGAAGCAGTTGTATTTGCATGGCTGTTTTTCGGTTTGAATGGTGGGATATGGCAGTGAATTTATAGGGTACAGAGGCATTACATTTTAGTCCTTAGGAATGGGAACATATGGGGGTATCATGGGCGAAATAGTAGTGTCCATGGTACAGCTTATCACTATAGGTAACGGTAACCATTTTCCATTGGGAAGAAAGGGATTGTTAGTAATGGAGACTGAGAATCCCATTGTTAGCAATATACCCAACCAGGTCGACCTCCACGCGGTTCTGGGCTAACTGGCCTGTTTTCATTCTCATCGATCACCCATCACTGTTCCCCTGCCAGCGTATACTGTTAGCGCAGGCGGGGCTGTCATTCCATTTTCATCTATAAAAAAAAATAACATTTTTTATTAGGTAGGCCGTCAGCTTATTTGCTATTCTAAGTTGCATAAAAAAAAGGGAATTCAAAAAATAAAAAAGAAATATTGGATTTCATCACCCCTTTCATTTTCAAAGTTAATGATAGATGAAAATACAATAATTCTATTATACAAAAACTATTGAACTACGTTGAATGATAATTGACAGACGGGTTGAACCTGTAGGGAATTTGACGTCACTGTAATCTTTATTCGGGTAAGTCCAGGTCACATAAAACATATATTCATAGTTATACGTGTCATTAACTCTTGCATTCATAATTCCCAGCATTTATGAATTTTGCAATAAGATTACCTTATTTTGTTCTATACCTAATATCTCCTTATATATATATATATATATATATATATATATATATATATATTCCTTTTCACATTCTTTTTGTAAATAGCAAAGTCTAATTAAATAAATAATAAAACAATTACACATGGTATTTGGATAAAAATACCTACATAGATATTAAACTAGTTTGTAACAGACGTAAGCTGTATTTTTAATTTTTCAGCAGCTATACATTATTGCAATAAATAAAGCATTTATATACAAAATATCTGTTGAAAATAATGGCATGAAGTGTTCGATGTCCAGACGGACATATTGTGCAGAATTCAGGTTATTATAATTTGGTTCTCATGTAGTTTATGGTAATTTCAGTATAATAATGATTAAAATAAAATATTTTTTATTATTTTTTTTATGCAAGGTTTTCTATTATGGCTATATATTCTTATATATATTTAGTACTTTTAATAACACAAACATTGTCTAACATTTTCTAAAATTTAGAAAATTACTTAGTATTTTAACAATTGATAAATACAGATAAGTCTAATACAGTAAGATAAAAGTAATAATGTAGACAGAAAATTAGAAGATAAAAATAACTCTACTGAATTATCTGTAGGTGTGTCTATTGATTATTTTGGTATTTACACACGTGAAAGTGAGTTTGTTTCTTGTTGTCATAAAATTATGGGCAGTGTTCAGTATGAAGAATCAAAAAAAGTTGCTTTTTGTTCTGATTAATTAATATGTCTCGGAAAGAGTCGCAGTCGCAACTAGTAACTAAACAAATAAGTGCTACAAAAATACGAGTATGTATATCATTCGATTGTTACACGGCCATAGATACTGACAACCAGACCTGAGTCAATTTAGAAAGGTGCGTTTCATTTTCGAAAATTAATGTGCGTTAATAGGAAGTTCGTTTATATAATAACTCTCAAATGTATGATTAATTTAGATTTCAGTCAATACATTTAAAATTTAAACGTACAGGATTAAAATGGATATATAACTAGGTTCTTCTCGAGTTATATAAGATATTGTGCAATTTTAAACTGATGAACTCTACAGTGAATTAATATTATAGTGTAAAGAAATTCTTTATACTGTGCTGACATAATAACATGCTAATGCAAGAAAGGGAAATCTTTAAACAAAAACAGTGTATGAATAGCAGGCTAGAATCCTCTTTTCATGAAAAGAAAACTGTGTTTAATAGTGGAATGTTAATTAATTATTAATTAGATGACTATGGTCTTACATAATATATATGGTAAACACTGTATTGTAGCCCAAAGCTATAAATATAAATTGACTTATTGTATAATAAAGTTAATTGTTATCAGCATCAGTGACCTTCAGTTCACTTCTGTTAATGCATGTCTGCGAATAAAGGTATTTGGGGTTGGCCTGAACTACTTGATTGTATAGAAGGTTGTCGGCGTTTGCGCCATAGTCGACACAGTGTACGGTGGGCGACCGTGCACGATACACGTCCTTACCATTTCAACCTTCACTCCGTTTCGTGTCCAGCACGATAATCATTTCAAATTGTCGTTTCCTACGGCAAATTACAAATGCAATGTGCAGAATTATAGTCAATTTACCTTTTAATTTTTATTCTTGAACTAACAGTGATATTTTTAAATAATAAAGTTTAAATTGGATTAAGTTAAGATGAAGTTGTTAATATATATTTTAATCGCATTTGTTTTTGATTATGGGTAAGTGTATAGAATACTTTTTTATATTTTGATAATGTTTAAATATCGTTATATTGTACATATTAAGGTTTAGGTTTCTAATATATTTTTAAGTACAGTTAAGAGTTCTGAAGGATATAGGTAAAATATAAAAAAAGTAGAAAAAATTTGTAGGAAATTGATATCGTAACAGCGATTTAGATGAAAGGTTTTCTAATATTGACTTTCGATTTTTCGGTTCAATTTTTCAGTTATAATTAAAGTGATTTAATCAATAAAAATACAAATTTGATTAATAAAAATTTCAAATAGCAATCAAAAGTAACTAAAATAAAAATCAAGAGCTTTAAAAGGCAAAAAGTTACAAAAGTTTTTTTTCTGTTTACAAAATTGGATATCTATTGAAATAAAATGTTAAAAAGTCACGTCAATTTATTACGGTGACGATATTCAATGTTACTAAAGAAATAAAACTCGGTTTTGTTTTTGTTTTGCAACATTGGCTACCAACAACGTGACAACATGATTAGGTACTTAATGATAAAGCATGTATTTCCATATCTTACAAAATGGTTCAGTGACAACTTAAGCTGATCCGGAGCAGATAGTCTAGTATTTGGGACTGCATATATACTTTTTATTACGAAAATAAGATGAATAATCTTTGTCACAGTAAGAATTAATATTATGAATGTGAAAGTATATTTGGTACATCTTGGTGTTTTAATGCCTAAATCAATCGTTATCGAATTTGGCATGCATGTAGATATTATTTGAGATGGATGGAGGATACAGCCAAGTTTTTGTCCTGGTCAGTTAATATATTCATGTCATGCAGACGAAGTTGCGTTTAAAAGCTAGTATTGACGTAATAGAAAATATAGGACCTATATGAATATATATAAAATATAGGACAAAGATTAATTACCATTTTGAGAACAGCAACTGAGAGGAATTTTTAATTTAGAATTAGGTTAATGTTTACTTTTTAAATAACAAAAATCCTAGCCTACATTTTTTAAATATAATAATTATAACAATATGTATGTTATATTATAATATAAATTCATTATGTAAAAAAAATTTAGGTGTCATATTTACAAATTTTTCAATGTTCAGTAAGTGCGAGATTTTCTATGTCACACTTTTAAAGAGGATGCTATAATCCCCGTATAATCGCAATTCCCACGAAGATATTTTTTTTACAATTATTCTATGTTAGTTTAAATATATACTTTTAAGTGATGTAAGTCACACTAAATCTTTATTTTTAAGGTTTTAAAAATTACTTTTTCGCCGTACATTTCAAGATTAGTGGTAGTTTCTTTTAGAATTCTCGAGGACGTGTTAATAAGAGTAACATTAAAATCAGAAGGTGTAATATCTCCTAATACTTAAACTATTGAGTCTTTAACTTTGTAACTGAAATCCTATAGGCATCTACTATTATAAAATTATAACTACTTACTGCTTAAACAACCAATTGCTTTTTTACCATATCATCAATCAGTTACAGCCGTGAAGAATTGACAAGAAATTAGATTGTTACTCTTTATTTCATTTGGGATGAATATACCTAATATATTGATTAAATAAAAAATCATATGCGTGATTAATTAGCTCTAATAGTTAAGTAAATACTGAATGTTTTTTAATATTTGAAATGTGTAATTGATTTTTATCGTTGTTAGTTGCTAACTGCATTTTGGCGTTATAATGGCTCAACCTAACTTGGATGGGATAGAAAAGAAAGATATATACTTATTCCATTTATTCAATGAAACTCGGTCACACAGATGAAGTTGCGAGTAATTATACTAGGTACTTAATAATATTTAATTATTCAAAATTTTATTCAGCAGTATAAAAAGGGTCGAAATTATGTTAGAATGTGGCACAATAATGACAAGTTTACGATCAGTGGTAAATTTGTAAACAATATGGCAGAATATTTTAAATTTCGATTTACGGTGTAATTTGAGATTAAACAACAGTGTTTATAGAACGTATTGTAAATTTTAAGTGTATTGAATCAGATGGATAAGATAGTCGTAAGTAGTTACACAAGGCTTATGGTAATACCTCAATTGTCAGGAGATGCAACACATGAAAAATGTCATAGATAATACAGACATGTGAAGTATTTTGTGTTGTGAGGTGAAGATTACCAGTGTTTATCACTTAGATCTTTTACTTAGTGTATTTTTTTATACAACTATGGTGGCAAACAAGCATGCCCATCTGATGGGCGTGGTTAACGCGGTTACCGTAGCCTAGGACTCTTGTAACTCCAGGGATATATATATATATATATATATATATATATATATATAAAATAAGAATAAGTCATTTAATATGCTGTTCGTAAATGTAGGCACTTATTGAATTGTCATCCTTTTCATTTACATTAGACAAGTTTCACACATCACTGTCACTTTCACATCACAGTTATTTGTACATTTAATATAAATATTATGTAGCAACATTTTAAAAAATAGCGACTCCTAATAACTATCTAAAGTAACTACTGTATTTACTCGTATTTAAAGTAAGTCGTTTGATATGAATATATAATGTGTAAATCTAAGGAATTTTCCCATAATTTAAAAGTTTTAGCTTCTATTAGTCTCATTTGTACAGACATTTCTTTTAATAATGAATAACATACTCGTATGTAATGAATAAATAATTGTTTGACGTGTTAGCATGACATGCGTCATCTTAGTCCTCATATTTATTGGAAACTGGAAAACCAGTGCGTGTATAATTGGTCAATTCGGTTTTTACGGTGTTCTGACATTTTTGATTCGTAGTATTGAGTTGGCGGTAAATGTTAATTCTACTATTATTGTTAATAGTTGGTGCATCCACACTAATAATATGTGAAAGTAACTCGGGTATGTCTGTTTACGTGATTATGTTTAAATTGATTTAAGTATAATTTGCTTTAGAAATACTCATTATAAATAAAAGTAATCTAAATAAAGAAGAAAAGCATAAGGTGTATATTAAACGCTCGCCTAAATATTTTAATAGAGTGAACGATATTATAGCAAAGGCTAGTTTTTTTAAAAATACTAAATTTTAAATATAAAAATATATTTATTCAGTTAAATACATTAGTTATTTATATATTATAGAAATATTATGAATTTTTATTTATTTATACTTTGTTGTGCAAACTAATTACATATAAATAAAATAGACAGTAGACAACAAATAAACAAAGGCGAGCATAACTTTACCAGCAAACCGAAAGTAGAAAAAAGCATCACTGTCAAGGGGTAGAGGGGTATACAATATTGTAACACTTTACAAACAAATGAACTAGATAAACTTAAGTTTATACATAACCCATTAAATCTAATTTGACACACATACATATACACATAAACGTAATTGTAAAATAAATAAAATATGTTCATAAGGATAGAAGATGTTTATTAAGTCTACTCTTAAAAATTTTTAGGGATTAGCTCTCATGGATAGCGTGTAGACAAGTGAGGAGGGATTTTGAAAATAAGAGATTTGGTTGAAAGATAGGACACACCATGAGTTACTAGGAAGCCAAAACGCTCACGAGGATAGAACGGAAAAGAAGGGTTGTATAGAAGAAAATATAAAAAAAACAGTGTGTGAAAATCTCGACGCCTTCGATAGCCTTTTTAATTTTGTTCTATAAGCGGAATGTTTTACATTCATAAAGATAAATAGATATTTAGATGTTTATATGTTTGTTACTTAATCATAATTAAATGGCTGAACGGATTTGAATACAGTTAGGTACAGGGGTAGATTATATCCTAATTTATAACAGAAATAGCTGGTTTTCTTTGTTATTATAACAAGAACGAACCTCGGCGATTGTAAGAATGATATTTAGAATTTTATTACCGTTTTGCTCATAGACTAATAGCAATACGTGTGTGTGTTTTTACGTGCCTACAGGCCAAAGTGATAAACAACAACAATTGTTATAATGCTATTTAGTACGACATACATCGAATACAATACTTTAGGGTTATTAACTTCTAAGATTCCTCAAACGCATTATAATGTAACCTTGATTGTAATTGTAGAAAATATTTTTTTTTAATTTGGAGTAGTTAACTATTTCGTCAATTATGGGCTATACTATTGATAACATAGGCTGTAATTTTATGGAAAAACTAAATGCGAGCGTTGAAAATTTTTACATTATGCATATAATATTATAATATTCAGATGAAATTGTAAGAAATATTTATATAAGTACAGTAAAAATTACTAACCTTAAGTCTCAAAATATAGTATCTCTTATGTTATATATTATTTTCATTAATGGTTACTCTTAAAAAATTATTCATTTATTATATAGAATTTATTAATTATGTTATATACAACTTGCTATGTTGCAATTCTCCGATATTTAACGTCATAGATTAACAACACTTACCTGTTTTAGAACAATTAATATTTTTTTTTACAGATTTCTATGATAAACAATTAATAGTTATTATAAGTACTTATCTTGATTGACACACTTTTGGTGTTTAAAAACAATAGTATTATCTTTAGTCTGTATTTTTACGTCAACAATTTGGTCTCACCTATAAATTAAGAAAATTTTTATTTTAAGTATATAGCTTCAAATAATATGAATATCTAAGTTTAATCTGCATAGCTTATATACATAAATTTATCGTAATAGCCTCAAAGGATACATTACGTACAATTTGTATGTAGTCATTAAATACTTTGTATGTTAGTGGTGAAAATAAAAAATAATAATGCTTTATTTTTTTTTTAATTCTATAAGTGAAATTGGCTACTAATAGTTTCTTTTAAACTTGCACTCGCTGCAATGTAAGGTTTTCCTTGCGGAAATGGATTGTTTCATTGCCAGTGACATACATTTCTAAAAAAAAAATAGTTATGACATGGTCACTGAGAAGGTGATCGTGTTAAATACAAAAGGACATTAATTGAATTGTAATTATATAGTAATTAATCAATTCGATTTTTTAATAGTTTCACTTAGA